GTTCATCCTGAGGCCGAGTCCGCATACAGCAACTAGAAGGATGTGCAGCTACGACATACAACTATCCACTGGGGCTTTGGGGGGAAAAAAAAAAAAAAAAACCAGCTTTAAAAAAAAAAAAAAAAAAAGTTCATGAGGCAGTCTTGGGAGAAAAATCCACCCAAGGATCAGGCCTGAACTAGCTTCTTTATAAGCAACTGTGCTAATAAAAGTATAAATTTAATTGTTAGCTTTCTTAGAAAATGTATTTCTTAAAAGCATACTGTGTGGGCTGGAGTTATACTTATGCAACAATCCAAAGCACCAAATTTTAGGTACTAGTAATTATTTATTCACAGGCATTTCTGCATGTCTTTAACAAATACCACATTAACCAAGGGCAGACGGCTGTCCTTGGTGCTTCCTTACAAATAGGGAGGCCACAGTCCTTGCCCTTCAGATGTGCCCAGTCTAGAGGAGTTTTCACTCTATTTCAGTTAAGATCTCTCTCTCACACACACGCACACACAGTCAAATGTCTGAAGATGTTCAAAGTGGAGTCATATCGCACACATTTAACTTACTAGAATCAACTAAGCACACTCTATATATGTTCAGAAAGACAATCCTATTCAACCTGGCACTTACAGGGAAGCCAAATATTTCATCTGATTCTCAGCTCAAGAACAAGCAATACGATCCAAATCTGGAGGAAATACTCATTGAGTGATAATATAATATACCTGCTAGGTAAGTAAAAGGCTGTTAATGATTTTGACCAGCCAAGATTTTTGACAAATGCATGACAGAATCTAACCCCCACATAAAATGCCACTCTACATTATTAGCTAAGAAGTGTAACCAGTTCAAGTCTTCAAAGTATAGGAGTGATAGAGCATCTATATAATTGAATATTATTTAGCCATTAAATGTTTGAATTATATAGAAACACAGGAAAATATGTGTAATATAATGTTAAGTGAGTATAGTAAAGTAACTAAAATGTATCCTATGACTGTAGCTATTTTAAAATATGTAGGTATATTTTTGGAAAAAGTTGTCCTGGGGTGATGGAATTATGAGTGCTTTATAACATTTTTCCTTTAGTGTTTTTCTAAGTATCTTGTTAATATACTTTTTAAACCAATGTAAGAAATGTTCTTTTGACATCTCTTCTATGAGCCTGTAACTGAACATATTATGTTTATTCTATGTCCTTTATATAAAGGATCCATATAATAAATCCCTCATTTATTTAAGATTCAGTTAGAAGGACTGTTTTCTTCAAAGAAAGTTCCAAATTTCTTTTATTAAAAAGAAAAACAAAAAATAAACAAAAAGTCATAAGAATTACATCACCCAGTATGCTTACCTCAGATGCAGGACATTGAAAGCTGCATTTGTGTGCAACAAAACGCCACATGTTAGGAAGCAACACATAAGAAACCTTTACTTTTCTGTATCTTGTAGCAGTTCAGTTGTGTTTTTAAAATCCCTTGTCCTGGGGCCAGCACGGTGGCATAGTGGTTAAGTTCGCAAGTTCCACTTCAACAGCCCGGTTTGCAGGTTTGGATCCTGGGCACAGACCTACTCACCGCTCATCAAGCCATGCTGAGGCAGCGTCGCACACAGAAGACCTAGAAGGACCTACAACTAGGATATACAACTATGTACTGGGGCTTTGGGGAGAAAAAAGAAAACCAGGAGGATTGGCAACAGATGTTAGCTCAGGGCCAATCTTCCTCAAAAAAAAGAAAAAATCCCTTGTCCTGTTCTATATTTTATTTCTAAACTGCCTCAAATCATTTAAAAAAGTTATGGAGAACAAGTACTACAAGTAAAATGGGCATTCCGGATTAAGGATGTTTCATGTTAATTCTCCCATTTTGTACCAATAATGTATAATCAGAATTCAGTTTCCAAAATTTAGAAGCCATCTACTTTGAATATTAACTGTGAAATAAGAAAAGGTTTTGACCACTACTCACAGTAAATCTCTGAGTCATTTAACCTAAATGGATCAAATTACAATTAAAGATACTCTAAGATAAATGTTGTAAGAAACAAGTTTCCTATATTCATTGTGTATATGGTATCTTTCCTATAAGTTGGGAACTAACTAAATTTAGGAACTAAGATTTTATAATATAAAAGGTTGAGTCAAATTAAGTTAAATTGTGTTTTCATGTACAAAAGTTTAGAAATTTAAAAATTAACTCTTTTGACCAAATATATGTCTAGCAATTTTAAAACATTTTAAATGCCACCAAGAGAAATCATAGTATTCAAAAGCTAACTTATTTCAGATGATGTTTCAGAACAGAGAATTTTCATATTTTGAGGCAAACAGAAGCAGAAAAGAAAACTGCATCAGCCAGGAAGATGTGAAAGACACAAAGATTTTATAAATGTGTGAAGTCCAGAAAGGCTGAAGGGAGATTTGGAATAGCTAAAGGAAACCAAAAAGATTATATCAATAATATAAATAATAGAGTATATATGAGGTGAGAAGCATATTTTTAAAATAAATATTCTCTATATAAAACAAAGCATGCTTCAAACAAATACAAAATATTTATTACACAAAAATGTAGTAACTGACAAACTACCAATTTAACTTAGAAAAAGTACTAACTTATTTCATAACTCAAAAAGAAACTTTACATTTTTGTTACTCAGGCTAATTTACCTCCAAGTTATAACTGTTACAAAATTTTGGTTTAAAAAATGGCATTCTATGATTGTCCCAATTTATTTTGCTATGCCATGACAAAAACAAAGTATCTTTGAAATGTTCTGAGTATTTAGGTGAAATAACGTTTGTAACATAAACTTATTCAAAAAACTTTTACATCAATAATAGGCCAACATATGCATTAAATACCCTCTTAGTATAAACAGGAAATACTAATGACAATACTTCATGGACCTTAATACCTGTCAATTCACATATAATACAATAATCAATCTGACTAGGCTAGTGATAGCTAAAGAACATGGTTAGTTACTCTCTCGTGGTATAACTGAATATGCTAACATTCTCATCAACTGAACACCAATTTCACTATCTCATATTCTTTTTAAACTCCTTGTCTCCAGGTTGGAATAGCCCTAAGGAGAAGAAGAGAAGAGCAATTATAAATATATGGAAATTTTAAAAAATCCTAACTGATTAAATGTTAACATTTAAAAATGTATATAGATTTGCTTTATCAACTTTTTACTGTAAAATATACATACAGAACTACATAAAATATAAACATGTAGTTATTAAATTATTATAAAGTGAACACCCATTCTAAGTTCTTTTTACCTATGTGGGATATGTAGAAGCGGCCCAGAGCCTGTTGGTCCTATCTTTTTGGTCCGTTCTTCCCAACCTTTGGTAGGTCTGTAAAGTCTAGAGGGATCTCTACTAACATTGTTTTCAACCTGTAATCAGAAGTACGAGTGCCAGTTAATTTATATGAACTATTAAGTTGGTACTAGTGAGTAAGATCCTTAGTAACAGAGGGCACTTTTAAGAAACATGCTTAATATCAGCTAAACAGAAATAAAACTGTTAATAATCTCTTTAGTAAACTTCTAATTGTGCTCATATAACTAAAATAACCTTTGGACTACATCCATCTATTTTATTTTATTTATTTATTTATTTATTTGTTAAAGATTTTATTTATTTATTATTTTTCCCCCCAAAGCCCCAGTAGATAGTTGTATGTCATAGCTGCACATCCTTCTAGTTGCTGTATGTGGGATGCGGTCTCAGCATGGCCGGAGAAGCGGTGCGTCGTGCGCACCCGGGAGCCGAACCCGGGCCGCCAGCAGTGGAGCGCATGCACTTAACCGCTAAGCCACAGGGCCAGCCTCATCCATCT